CGCGAGATGCTTGGGCTTTTGCGTCGCGGCGGAGAAACGCTATTCTAAAACTCTCCTGCGTCGCGTGCGCTAATACAAGTGCTAAATTTAGCGCTAGCGTGCGCTAAAATTGCGTACGTTATTCTAAAACTCCCTATTGTAAGAGATCTATAGAGATAAGCATAACTGATAAGTGCATTGCAAGCACAGTGCCAAAGACGCTTATATTAGCGAGGAAATCATTCTGTACGATAATGCTCCCTAGCGATCTTGGCGCGATTGGTTCAGAACGATCCTTTCGAATCTTCGAATAGTTAAATGAACCGAAATGGTGATTGCCATGGCAACTGAACCGATCAGCCAAGCGCCTTGTGAGCTCTGATCGTCCGTATACTTGTCACTCGTAAATAATAAGAAGCCAAGATCCCAATTCGTAACATCACGGCGAAGCGAATCTTGGCCGTGACGTCACGGATAGAAGCCATTGGATCGCGCCACCGAAACATCTCGGCGCTAATGAACCATTCCAAAAATGCTTCTGGCTGGTATCCTTTTCAGCGTTCGTGCGAATGGTGTGTGTTTTGCTCGCTTCTAGAAGCGGCGAAAATGCGCACGCTGGGCTGTGAAGATCGCAAGCTGGGTTGTGATTTTGTAATCACTGCAACGGGGTATACGTTATGCGGTGTTAATTTTTCGTTGCGGGAGTCGTCATTGTTACACATGCGACTGATTAAAGGGGCGATGCAACATATTTTTTTGTACTTTGCCCAAATACCCGCTTAGAACGAATCCCTGACGCTAATGACATATGCAACACGCGATCGTTTTTCACCACATGCGATGGAGGTCGCAGAAGAAATTAAGAAAAATGGGCAGCGTTCACAGCCTCAACTCGCAGCCAGAACAAGCGGCCACCTGATCTGGAGCCGATTATAGGCCGTCAATGTTGTTCATAGCCACACGCTGTGGTTGGCGAAGTACAGGACGCGCGCTGAGTTCCAGGCTTTGATATGGTTCGGCTATTGTTGCCATTGCAGCGACTGGACACGGGCAATGGCAGGGGCCACTGCCCGAATGCTTCTCCGATTATCACGAGCCCGAATCGAGTGCTCACGCTATGCTTGGGTCTAATGTATGAGCCGCCTTCAAATATTTTCATTGGGGGATACGGCGACCCCCCGCTACGTCCTAAAGTTTTGCGAACGAGAGATTGAAGCGCTCACTTATGTCCTTGAAATTACACCGCAACCAGGGAGTTTCTCGGTTGCGGTGTATACTATACTGCGTGCGAGTATACTTGGATCCCAATAGTGCCAGTAAGCTCGTGTAAATTGAGAAACTTACCAAGCGAATATCGTTGCACCGCCCCTTTAAGGGCGCGTTCACGCTGGCAAGTCCCGGCTGTCGCGCGACAACTTTTGTCGCAAAAGCGACAGTCGCAAGTTTGAAAAGCGACCAATTTGAAACAGTCGCTTCCAGGTAGATTTTTGCGATTGGTCGCCGAGTCACCCGGTGGCTGAACCAATCAGCGGCGCCTCGGAAGTGACGTGTGGGGCGCCTCGTGTTTGTATACATCCTGCACGCCCAACTTTTGTGTGAGAAGGAACAAACATGGTCCGTCCAACGCCTCGGTTCCCGGTAGCGGCCATGAATACAAAGTCACGGAGGTCGCTGCTGCGGCTCTGGTCGTCGATATTAAAGAATACTAATCTCTTTATTAAAGCAGCACCCCGATTTGAACGAGCACTCGAAAAAGAACTCGGCCTGGCAGCAAGTCCGTCCAACTTTTGGCTTGACAGGTACCTACGGCGACGCGGCAGCACGAGCGAGTGCACGCCGATGTAACGATTGCGCTTCATTGTACTGTTCTGAAGGACTCAGGCCAACGTAGCGAGTCCTTTTCATATGGTAACGACGAGCTTTCGAGAAGCGACTCGCCGGTAGCGGCCATGAATAGAAAGCAATACCTGCAGTATCGACTCGCTGATCGCCCGCAGCGTGACCGTCGGCGGTAACTTGTTGCATGTCGCTAGTCGCTTGCGCGACTGTCCTGAGTCGCAATTGTGAACGCGCATTAAAGCCCGGTTTACATGATGCAATTTTGCTTTCGATTTGGAAGGTGAGACATCAAGCACCGCAAGATTTTATACGTTTTTTTTTTTTTTTTGCCGCACGAGCGGCTTTTGCGTTGTTGAATCGCAAGCGAAATCGCATTATGCTAAGCAGGCATAAGAGGAGCACGTTTGCTTTTGTTCAACCCAGAGGATGAACCAAGGTGTGACGGCACAATTCGCGTCTCCAGGCATGCGCTTTTGGAACCAAAATTGACGGCTCCGTGCGTTGGCCAGCATAGGCTGTGGGGTTTTGTTCAATAGCTCTCACGATACCTTCGCTGAATAGCTTTCTATATTGAAACTTGTCCTGTTCTTTGGCCGTACACTTGGACGTAGTCACAGGTTTCATTTAGGGAATTTACTGTAGGGGTGAGGGAATGAAGATTCGAATTGAATAGTGCCGCATAATTCATAGACTTCACAGTGAGAGAAAAAGCTATTAAATGTTGCCTTTTTTTGCAGTATATATATTGACGATTTCGATGACAAGGCACTATTTTTTTTTTCAAAGCAATGTTAACCAACTTCCAGTTTGTAGCAATGCCCTTTTATGTATTTCTCTTCACAAGTGGCAGAAGAACGCACAAGGCGAGCTGCGTAATTTTTTTAAAACAGCATGGCAGCTCAATGTTCTCCCATACAGGTTCCGTTGAGTTCTATGACGAGCACAAACGAGTGAACTTAGGTCTGAATTGTGTTGTTTTTCTTCGATTTCAGTTTCATTTTACGTATCGCTTCGGCCATTTCACCAGTACTCAAAAAGTAACGATAGCAAATCTAATCGACCTGAGTCCGGAAAAGGTCGGTGTTCGTAACAGTAACATTTGCGAAAATAGTCAGCAGTGATATTTGCCACCTCAGCAGGGTCACAGTGTTCGAGCTGGCGAAGAATGTACACGCCATTCCCAATAATGAAAATTATACCTGACCCACTGACGTTGGGGCATATATTCCCCTAAAAAATTAATCAGTTTTTAGATGATTATCGCGCCTGTATAAAATGAATCAAGCGTTTGTTGAGGACCCCCAAAAATTAAGTTTCTAAATAATGCCCTATTTAAAGGCCACGGTAGAACAGACCCTTTTGAAAGTCTGCTCTCAACGCACACCAGAGGCCGTCATGGTAACCTTGCTGCAATTGATTTGCTCGTCAGGAACAAGTAGAATTGATCACCAGAATGATTCGATGATGTCACGTGGAAGCCATGTAGTAACGTTGGCCGTATGTCGAAATCTTCGAGACACCCGCATAATGACGTTGCACAATGACGTACACAAAAGATACCGTCAAAGCTGGGTTGTTTCCCGAAGTATTTTTGACACTAGTTTACACAAAAAGGGGAATGTTTGAAGATATGAATAGTTAGATCATGTGTTATTTTCTTTTAGTAAGCTGTAGTGGAATCTCTCCAAATGCCGGACATTGTTTTCCTTCTCCATCATACACTTACATGTTGCGCTAAGAACTGTCCCCTCTAGTGTCTCTTCTTATGATTTTCAAGAAGTAGTATATTCTTCGATATATTAAAAGGTCAGTAAATAAAGTGAGGACGCTGCAGTTCCCGGTGAAGTGACGCAAATATTTGTGCTATATTTTAGTCTTGTGCGAATAGTGGATTTTGAGTCCGAAGCGAATTCGAAGCGAATAGTGGTTTTGGCCGAATATTTTCGATTCGAATATCGAATAGTTTTTCCACGCCTTTCACTACCATTGCATAATGCTTAGAAAAAAAAAAAATCAGCTAAACCTGTAAAGGTTATTCCACTTTTTCATTCATAAGCTAAGCTTATTCTATCTATATTTATGAACTGTGATCTCAGAAGGTCTGGTGTCTCGGGATGGCCAGTAAACGACGGATCCGATATAAAATGAATCCTATAGAGATGGCCAACTATACCAATTGAGTGAATTTACAAATCTTGTTATATAAAATATTCTTTCTTTAATCTCAAGTTAAAAAAGAATGAGTCACGCATGATGAACACAGGTTGTAAAAGCATCTCTGCCTAACATAGTATACTCTTCAATAAAAGTTTAATTTTCAAACTTTTACTACAATGTAGATATACACATTCACAAAGTTTACATTTATTTTCAAATACAGTCGGCACGGGTGCACCATCCCGCTTTGAATGTATGCTTTTCTTGAGCACGCAATTACGATATTGTTTATCGCGGCGGGTTAGCGAGCACCGATGTAATGCGGAGAAGCAACACCCGCGGAGCTCACTTCCGAGGGGTTTGCTTCTCCGCAGCGCACCGGTGCTTGGTAAGAAGCGCACTCAACGGGGCCAACACGCCGTAATCAACACCTTGAATAACGCGAATAGTGCAGTTCTTTTCGAAGCGAATATCGAATAGTGTATTCTTCGGAACTACTATTCGAAATTTCGAATATTCGCACAACCTTACTATATTTGTTAAAAAAAGAGAACAGAATGATAACTGCGAAAATTAGTTGCTTTATGTTGGATGCCCCTGTGTGCTTTAACGAAAAGAATTGGGCTATGTTTATTTTTATACAGGCTAGAACTTGTTCCGCCTCAACGGGCGACAAGTCTCCCAGCTGTAGATGAGAAATTTAGCCAGTGCAGTACAACCGCTAGCCTGGGGTGCTATGTTGAGCTTTTTGGACTCGCTGGAGACTAGGAAGAGGGAAGTGACGTCAACGACACAGCAAACGCAGATTGGGTGTTGACAGAAGAAAACGAAATCAACACCCAATCTGCGTTTGCTGTGTCGTTGACGTCACTTCCTTCTCCCTAGTCTCCTGGGAGTCCAAAAAGCGCAACATAGCACCCCTAGGGTCTTTATCGTGCATCACGCAGTAGTGATACACGACCGCACGCGGGTACGATGCTCATCCAGATCGAACCGGGCAGGGCTGGGCGTACGTTAAAGCTTACCTGCTCCATAGGCGAAGAGTAGGTAGGGTAACTTGAAAATGGCGTTTTTGCCAACCAGGAGAGCTGTCAACGTTAGTAGCTGATGGGTCTTGACCCCGTAGGAGGGTCTTCCGGCGTCCATGGCATGCGCCGGTTGGCCCTCCAAGGCGCAGTCGTCTCCTTCGTCGGTCCTTGGATGACACGGTTGACGGTTCACGCGTTCAGATGGAGTCCTGTCTGTCGAAGTCCGATTGCACGAAGTGCTGTCCGATATTTGCAGGCGGACCGAATGATGCCAGAACGTGAAAACGTGCAATCTGCGCGGGGTCGCACGGGAGAAAAAAAAAAAAAGAAAAGGAAGGATTATTTTGTGCACCCGTTGCAGTGTTGTCGCGACTTCGTTTTCGCCAATCCGTGGGGACCGGTGGCCGAGTGGGCTATACTTCGTTTCAGCTTCGGTGCAGACGCAGCCGATGCTACAAGCGCGAGCATGTGGCCCAGAACAGTGCTTGCACTGCACGAGCGCGCGTGCTTGGCAGGGATGCTGAAAGCCCGGAGCTCGCGTTTGTAGCTTCGGCTGCGTCTGGACCGAAGCTGAAACGAAGTATAGCGCGCAACTGCTCGGAGCACGAGGAGCGAAAGCTCGTGCTGCAAAATCTATGCCCTATTTCACCTTATTCCGCAGGAAAGGCTACAAGCGCGAGCTCCTTGCTCTGGGACATATCTCTGCGGCAGAAGTTCTCGTGCATTAACGGCTGCCAACGCTTTGAGCTCGCGCTCCTAGCGTTCGCTGCGGTACAACATAAGGTGAAACCACCGTGGGTGAAACGGAATATAGAGATCCTGGGTTCAACGCCTGCCCCTTTTGATCTAGATAAGCATCGTACCGGCGTGCGGTCGTTTACCAGTGCTGCGTGGTGCACGCTAAAGACCTAGCGGTTGTACTGCGCTGGCTAAATTTCTCATCTACAGCGAGTGACTGGTCGCATCTTCGAAATGGCTGACCAACTACAAGCTGTCTAAATGTCCCCACAACCACAATTATATTGTTTTCGCCAAAGCAATTTTGCTGAGAGGTTCACTTCAGTCACTTTTAGATGCTCAGAAAACACCTGAAAGTGGAAAACTTCTCATACCAAGCTTTGATCACCTTGTGAATGTCAAGATGCAACAGACTGCCAGTTGACTTTCCACGATGATTGGGAAGGGTGATCAGACAAGAACTGTCTGGACAATGTTACCAAAAGTCACGGCAAACTTATAGTGAAAGCATGCTGTTAAAGTGTTTGCAAAAAAATCACCACAAAATGGCACTGCACACTTCAACATAAGTCTCTGACAAAAATGAGAGCCAGCTGACGCTTTGGGCATTGGGATCAATTCTGGACACGTTTTAGAAGCGTCCGCTTAGCCAATCCTTCGATGACTACATACCTCTGTTTATTGGCATGACTGGCGACGTTGATTCACTCGACGACGAGTTTAAACAGTACCAGTTGGAAGCGAGCCCCCACAACAGGAGTGTCAACCTTCTGGTGTATTGGTATGATGCCACGGTATACGCTAAACCAAGCTAGGAAATTCCGCGCTAACACTGTTGTGCGCAGGAAACGGCAGCTGTGATGTTAAAAGAAAGGTTTCTGAATTAAGGCCTGTTCACACATGCAGCGGAGCGCTACAAGCATAGCGCTTTCCTCGCGCGAAGCGCGTGCTGACGGGAGCGTTCACCTGCTTTGTATCGCACCGTCAAAACTGTTGGTCATGGCAGACGATAAGTAGCTGACGGCACATGAGGAGCGCTACATCAGCGCTTCGCTGCATGTGAGAACCGACCTTAAAGATATGTACAAAGACCGAACATGCCTAGAAGGTGTGGAGGTCTCAAAGGGGTGACGCCGTCCGTCAAGGAGGCCAACCGCTCAACGTACCACTCCGCAGCGTATAATGCTAAGCGCTGCGGCGGGTTCAACTGTCGGCTGCAACCGTTAGCCGGGACTCTCAAAAGGGAGCACACGGACACGCCGAAGGCCAGGGATGATCGGGTGTCTTTTTTACGTGTTAATCATATACAGGTAAGAAACACGCTAAAGGCGACAAGGAAGGAACAGACCTCACCTTGTCGTGCCTTCCCGAGGGCGGGCTCGGAGGTGGGCCGTCAGGGAGGGCCGGGCCACACGTCCGAACAGTTGGATGTCCCCACGAGCAGTCCCCTCGAGCGGGGCGCAAGGCCCCCCCTCTCTCTTTTGGCGGCCTCAGCCTCGTACCCAAAAAGGTCCAACCGCCAGGGGGACGTTTCGCGCGTCCCCGCAAGGTTGGGGGAGTAGGCATGCGACGCGAAGGTAAGCAGGCAAGATGGTTGCTCCTCCGAGGCACGAAACGGGGCGCTCCGGCTGACAGTTGGGCAGCTCGGAGTGCTTTTCCCGCGACCATAGGGCCTAATCAGGTGGAGCGGACTGCTCCCACAAAGGAAGACTGACAGGCTGCACATGCATATAATGAAGCATGCGAACAAAGATTTGTGAAAAATAGAAAAGCTCGTGTACCATATGTTGCATTGCTATTCTCTGTGTTCCTTGTGTAAATAAAGCCTGGGTCACACTGCTCATTCATCATACAAACGACAGTCTGCAGACACGAGTCACCGCAATATCCGTGGTTCGAATGCCCCGTGCCAAGTTTCTCCGTGCACTCATTGCCATGCGGCATTCGAAGCACGGATCTCGCGGTGACTCGCGTTCGAATCTGTATGCAGACTGTCTTAGGTACGATGTACCTAAGACAGTCTGTGTGACCTCGGCTTAAAGAGATTCCGTGTAGTAAACTGATCTATGGTCTTTATTTTATTGATATATTTATAAATATAACCCCCCCAAAAAAACGAATTTGAAGATTTAAAAAAGACCACACCTGAGTTATTTTTTATATTGAGCACAAAAAATAGCACAACCTTTTTACTGCAAAAAAAAAAATAATAAAAAAAAAAGTAAAACCCGGAAACGAAAAACCCCAAATAAAAAATGTTCCAAACTTGCACAACACACACACACAAAAAAAAAAAACAACGTAGCGTTTTGCGGGAGTTAAAGCAACTGTATGTTTTTAGCAACGTTGGGGCTTAAAAAGCGACTTAGGAAAGTGCACAATTTTTGTCGTGGCTCTAAGTCTTCCTCAAGATACCATATTTATATATCTAGTTACATATATATGTATATACAAGGTGTCCCAAAAAACTTCCACCAAACTTTACAAAAAAAAAAAAAAAGTTGCGTTTTACGGGTGTCAAAGCAACTGTATGTTGTTAGCAACGTTGGTTCTTAGAAAGCGACTTACGAAAGTGCACAATATTTTTCGGTGCGCTTCGCAGCAACGCATTTTCCAGAATTTCTCGTCATGTCTAAATCTGCCTCAAGATAACATATATATATATATATATATATATATTTATACAGGGTGTTTCGGAGAACGCAGGCCAAATCGCTCCTGCAAAAACTACTTATCACAACGAAAAAAGGCTTGTGGCGTTTTGGTCCTGGGCCACGGGCCCATTTAAGAAAATTATTAAAGTCCAAGATAATTAAGTTGCTAATTATTTTTGCGTAATTAACTTTTTTAATATTGTGTTTAAGGGCATGGTTTAAATTAGAAAATTTCTCAGCATCGTCGAAAACCACTAAACCAACACATTGCAGAACGATAGAAGGCACGCGAAGCATTTTACGGCTTTCTGAAAAACCGCACAAATTCGACGGGTGTTTTAAGTTTCGGTTTGTTATCGGAGCGCATCTGGGCCCCGGCAACACCGCGCCCCGTGGAGAGATAGTGCAACCAGACTCTGCTGCGTCGCGCGATGACAGCGCAGCAAAGGTTGGTTGCACTGCCTCTTCTCGGGGCGCGGTGCCGTCGGGGCCGACATGCGCTCCGATAACAAATCGAAACTTAAAACACCCGTCGAATTTGTGCGGTTTTTCAGAAAGCCGTAAAATGCTTCGCGTGCCTTCTATCGTTCTGCAATTTGTTAGTTTAGTGGTTTTCGATGATGCTGAGAAATGTTCTAATTTAAACCATGCCCTTAAACACAATAATAAAAAAGTTAATTAGGCAAAAATAATTAACAAGTTAATTATCCCGGACTTTAATAATTTTCTTAAATGGACCCCTAGCCCAGGACCAAAATGCCACAAGCCTTTTTTCGTTGTGATAAGTAGTTTTTGCAGGAGCGATTTGGCCTGCGTTCTCTGAAACACCCTGTATATACACAGGGTGTCCCAGATAACTTACACCAAACTTAAAACAAAAAAAAAAAAACAAAAAAAAAAAAACGGAGGGATTTGCGAGTATGAAACGAACTGTATGTTGTTAGAAAGCGTCTTGGGAAAGTGTACAATTTTTGTTTCAGCACTTTAAAAAAAAAACAAAAAAAAAAAACAAACAAAAAAAACGGAGGGATTTGCGAGTATGAAACGAACTGTATGTTGTTAGAAAGCGTCTTGGGAGAGTGTACAATTTTTGTTTCAGCGCGCATACTTTATTGGATAATTAAGACAAATTAGCTATTTCAAAAGTATTTGATTAAGAGACGAGGTGTGAGTTGGAAAGTTATAGAGCGCATCTAGAAACGTCCAGTTAAGGTGTGTCTTACATGATACGCATTGCGCGCTTATTTATATTTGCCTACAAACGAAGCGCGGGAATTAAAAAAAACAACAACAACAACAAAAAGACCACGTGACAACGCGCCCCAGCGCTTCCAGTCGTGCTATGAAGGAACGAAGTCCGAGACAGGGCTATAACAGGACTTTGCAGCAGCGGGTGCTCGCGCTTACCTTCGGCGATTACCCCAAACAAGAAGCCCTGTCTCGAACAGCGCGCCAGTGATAAAGACTTCGTTCCTTTCGAACACCTCTGAGAGAGCTGCAAGCGCGACGCCCGGGGGCGTTGTCGCGTGGCCTTTTTTATAATGTGTGCGCTTTCTTTTTAGGCAAATAAAAAAAAGCGCGAAAAGCATATCTTGCAGGAAGCACCTTAATTGAGCGTTTCTCAATTCGCCCCAGAACTTCCCAATTCACACCTCTGCTAATAAACAAAAAATTAAAAAAAGGGTCATTAGTTTTCACAAACTAACTAATTAAACGCGGAGAAAAA